GCATTCAAGTATGCATTCAAGTATGCATTCAAGTATGCATGCAAGTATGCATTCAAGTATGTATGCATGCAAGTATGCATTCAAGTATGTATGCATGCAAGTATGCATTCAAGTATGTATGCATGCAAGCATATATGTATGCATGCAAGCATATATGTATGCATGCATGTATGTATGCATGCATGTATGTATGCATGCATGCAAGCATATATGTATGTATGCATGCAAGCATATATGTATGCATGCATGTATGCATGCATGTATGTATGCATGTAAGCATATATGTATGCATGCAAGCATATATGTATGCATGTATGTATGCATGCATGTATGCATGCAAGCATATATGTATGCATGTATGTATGTATGCATGCATGTATGTATGCATGTATGTATGCATGCATGCATGCATGTATGTAAGTATGCATGCATGTATGCATGCATGTATGCATGTATGTATGCATGCATGTATGCATGCATGTATGCATGCATGTATGTATGCATGCACGTGTGCATGCATGCATGCATGTATGTATGCATGCATGTATGCATGCATGTATGTATGCATGCATGCATGTATGTATGCATGCATGTATGTATGCATGCATGTATGTAAGTATGCATGCATGTATGTATGCATGCATGTATGTATGCATGCATGCATGCATGCATGTATGTATGCATGCATGTATGTATGCATGCATGTATGTATGCATGCATGTATGTATGCATGCATGTATGCATGCATGTATGCATGCATGTATGTATGCATGCATGTATGTATGCATGCATGTATGTATGCATGCATGTATGTATGCATGCATGTATGTATGCATGCATGTATGCATGCATGTATGCATGCATGTATGTATGCATGCATGTATGTATGCATGCATGTATGCATGCATGTATGTATGCATGCATGTATGCATGCATGTATGTATGCATGCATGTATGTATGCATGCATGTATGTATGCATGCATGTATGCATGCATGTATGTATGCATGCATGTATGCATGCATGTATGTATGCATGCATGCATGTATGTATGCATGCATGTATGTATGCATGCATGTATGTATGCATGCATGCATGTATGTATGCATGCATGTATGCATGCATGTATGTATGCATGCATGCATGTATGTATGCATGCATGTATGTATGCATGCATGTATGTAAGTATGCATGCATGTATGTATGCATGCATGTATGTATGCATGCATGTATGCATGCATGTATGTATGCATGCATGTATGTATGCATGCATGCATGCATGTATGCATGCATGCATGTATATATGTATGCATGCATGCATGCATGTATGTATGCATGCATGTATGTATGCATGCATGCATGCATGCATGCATGTATGCATGCATGCATGTATGCATGCATGTATGTATGCATGCATGCATGTATGCATGCATGCATGCATGCATGCATGCATGTATGCATGCATGTATGCATGCATGTATGTATGCATGCATGTATGTAAGTATGCATGCATGTATGCATGCATGTATGCATGTATGTATGCATGCATGTATGCATGCATGTATGTATGCATGCATGCATGTATGTATGCATGCATGTATGTATGCATGTATGTATGCATGCATGCAAGCATATATGTATGTATGCATGCAAGCATATATGTATGCATGCATGTATGTATGCATGCAAGCATATATGTATGCATGCAAGCATATATGTATGCATGTATGCATGCAAGCATATATGTATGCAAGCATATATGTATGCATGTATGTATGTATGCATGTATGTATGCATGCAAGCATATATGTATGCATGTATGTATGCATGCATGCATATATGTATGCATGTATGTATGCATGCATGTATGCATGTATGTATGCATGCATGTATGCATGCATGTATGTATGCATGCAAGCATATATGTATGCATGCATGTATGTATGCATGCAAGCATATATGTATGCATGTATGTATGCATGCATGTATGCATGCAAGCATATATGTATGCATGCAAGCATATATGTATGCATGCATGCATGCATGCATGCATGCATGCATGTATGCATGCATGCATGCATGTATGCATGCATGCATGCATGTATGCATGCATGTATGCATGCAAGCATATATGTATGCATGCAAGCATATATGTATGCATGCAAGCATATATGTATGCATGCATGCATGCATGTATGCATGCATGTATGTATGCATGCATGTATGCATGCATGTATGCATGCAAGCATATATGTATGCATGTATGTATGCATGCAAGCATATATGTATGCATGCATGCATGCATGCATGCATGCATGCATGCATGCATGCATGTATGTATGCATGCATGCATGCATGCATGCATGCATGCATGCATGCATGCATGTATGTATGCATGCATGCATGTATGTAAGTATGCATGCATGTATGCATGCATGCATGCATGCATGCATGCATGCATGCATGTATGTAAGTATGCATGCATGTATGCATGCATGTAT